GCCGATTAATTTGTGATCACATGGCTACTTTAAACGGTTCAATTAAGCCTTTCGCCCAAAAGAGCGCACATTTAGAAAGATAATGATAAATTCTCACATGTTCACGCCTCAATTCTTGACAGAGGATGATTCTATATTATATTAATGTTCCACTAAATTAATCTGAAGAGTTTTGAGCGCTCTCTCCCGTCCAAAGACTATAGAATACCCTAATATCTTACAGGGACCCGTCTCACTACCACCACACGAAGTGGAGCAGAAATTTCATCAAAACGATTTAAAGGTTCGTACGGTCATGAAAACCTCAGAAAGCTTTGGAAAAGTCGTGGAAATGTACTTTACAAATCTCTATATAACAGAATATATGTTTAATCATTTCCTGAATCTCGGTGCGGGATTGCGCATTTTGGTTTTACTCATTCCCGCAGGTTTCGCACATTTGGAAAATTCCCACAAACATGTATTTAATATACAATGTAGGTTAGATGATTAAAAAAAAAATTTCACACAGAATATCAGATTAAGTCAGTCATTTGAAAACCGCATGAGTGGTTCAGCTGTACCGCGTCTTCTGGCTCTCACTCTCTCAAAATTGCCTCACATCAGCGCATCTCGTCTGCACTAAGAGAGCTGCTGCACGCTGCAATACAAGACTTTAGCTCAGCTGACAGAACTGTCACTTGCCTAATCGGGTCAGTGTTGCATCATCACAAAAGTTTATCATTTGCACGTCTTTTTAAACCACTCGGTACTCACACGCTCCAAACTAGTTTTCTGGGCACATCCAAAGCACACGAAGCCGCAACGCAAACACCTCAAGAAAAAGTTATTGTTTTAATTTTTTCTGACTCAAGTAACCTTGCATTTTAATAAATAATGTTACATAAAGACAATTAAACGGTCAGTAATAAATGAACAAGTTACTAGCAATGCAATAGCACAAGGATACACATGAAACAAACTGTGTTTTAACTTTTTGCAGGTAGGCTATAGCCTAAAACTAACAGTAGCTGCTACTGTTCAGGAACAAAATACTATGATGTATAAAGTCATAAATATAGATTATATTTATGTATTATTCCATATTAAATATGAAAAAGTTATTTAGTCAAGAGCAGATCTGATCTGAGTGATTTTTTTTCTTTTGTTCTTTAACACAGACTGACAGACAACAGGTATACTAAAAACTGCTGTCACTTTCATACCAAATGTTAATGTTAACAATGTTAATTAATTATTGGTTATTGTTAATTAATGTTAACAACAAAAGACAAAATCACTCACTGCTCTTGACTGAATAATTTTTGTAACTTTAATTTTAAGAATTAATCTGTTGTTTAATTTAAAGTGAATTTACTGTTTTTAATTTACAGTTTATTCCATTTCTGCAGCATTTCTGTACCTGAATGTTTTCCACCAAAACTGTTTCTAAAATTTAATTCAGGTCCTGAGTTTAATTTATAATACTGGCTGAGCAAATTACAATATACTTAATATTCTGGCATTCAGTTATGTGATTATGTAACTTATGTTCTCTGCATGAAGTAACGTCTGGCACAGTCGCAGCCTGCACTAATAATCATACATTTTCCAAACATTTGTGTAAAATAATGGAGCATTAGGTCATGAATATTGCCTTAAAAGTCATTGAAATTTATTGGTTGAACGAACCCTGCATTTAATCAGTGAATGCCTACGATATAGGAGTTAGCCTGTCACATAAACTAGAGTCCTGTTTTTCCGAATATCTGCACGATCGCAAATGAACAATAAACAACAAGTTACTGAGTAACTTTCAGACACAAAATTCTGTTTTGCCCATCAATGCGTCTCCGAGCAACACAGTGTTTTGTTTCTCAGCATTACACGGAGCAGTAAATGGTTCAAACAAGCTATTAGTACATTCGTTTGCTAAGTTAAATGAATTAGCATTTTAAACTAATCGGTTGATTTAAGGATTAAACTCGCTCATTAAGACAGTCACTTGCTGCTGCCTACTGGCGGTTGTAGTTTCATATTTTAAAAAGTAGCTCATTATTTCATTTTTGCAATCATTTAATATTTCTACATTAAAATGTATTTAAACTTAACATAACTTATGCAAAATCCATCTATGGGTTTAGTTTATAGTGATTTCATTTGATTGTGAATAGCCAGCATGTTTTTTTATTCAGATTTAATTTATTAAATTTAAGAATCTGACATAAAAGGACACAGATATGACAATACATGTTCATAATAATACATCACTTTGTTTTTTTCTGCTCAGTGTTATTTCAGAGTTTTGATCTCTCAACTGAGAGATCACGTCCTGCTTATTGTATTATAATGACTATTTAATATTACATCTAAACTTTGACTAGGCTAGACATGTTGCCTATTAATTGTCTACAGTATATGAACCTGAAAGCATATTTAAATTTTTGTGTATTTTGTGTTACGGCCCCGTAAGTCCTGCCCTGGCCTCCATAGTTCTGAATAGTCTAATGTCCTCCATGAATCTGGTTGATATATAGAGACTGATACATCCCACAGGTAGAGACTATTCTTTTTTTTCACAAAGGCACAAATCTTTTTCTAGAATTTATTATTTTTTGCTTGACTCCAAACTTATATCAAACGTGACCACTTCAGATTATCACAACATCTTAATTTCTGATCACTCTCTGACTTCAATGGTTCTTGATCTTGGCCATAAGACTATCATTATGTCAATTTATATCTCAAAAGATCTTTTCAAAAGGCCTTTCAGAAATAGAAGAGGAATTATCTCAATTGGAACCCGCTTATAGAATTTCCTCTAGCCCTTCTACCTTACAGACTATTCTTAAATTAAAGTATGAATATAATACTATTTTATCTGGACAGGTATGGGATCAATTGTTAAGGGTAAGACAAAAATATTTTGAGTTAGGGGATAAGCATAAATTGCTAGCTCGACAGCTGAGGGGTTTACAAGCTAATAAAGTTTAAATCAGAAGCAGGGGACATGCTTGTGGATCCTAAAGGTATAAATGATCGCTTTAGAGAATATTATGAACAATTATATACATCAAGAGCAAGAGGGGACATCTCTATTTGGTTAGGTCCTTTGAATCTTCCTAAACTGAGTGACGTTGCTTGTGAGGCCTTAAACTCTGACATTACTATTTCAGAGATTGTTGATGCTATAAAATCCTTTCCTAATGGCAAGGCGGCAGGGCCAGATGGTTTTGGTATTGAATTATATAAAAAATATTCTGAAAAGTTGGCTCCCCTTTTACTGAGGATGTTCACTCATTCTCTTGAAACTCAAAAATTCCCTAGCACATTATATGATGCTAATATCTCATTAATACTGAAAAAGGGTAGGGATGAGACTGAGCCTTCATCTTATCAGCCTATCGCATTACTTAACTCTGACATTAAAATTTTCACAAAATTATTAGCCAATAGGATAAATAAATACATTTCATTCACCTATTATGTAGTAGTAGTAGTTTTAGTTTTTGTAGTAGTTTTCTCTATTTCTGTTTTATCACGTGATAGAAAGTCTAAGGCCATCTTAAGCCGTACAGCTGACTTATCTAATGTGCGGCCTGTTGTGCATCAAACTAATATTGCTGTTGAGACAAAATGCAATGCCATCAAGTTAGCATTTTTAAACATTCGCTCACTAAAAAATAAATCATTTCTAATCAATGACTTAATAACCACAAACTACCTGGGTTTTATGTTTCTAAACGAAACATGGCTAGAAGACAGCTGCAGTGCAACGGTCCTCAATGAAACAGCCAGTGGTGTGAAGTAACGAATTACAAATACTCACGTTACAGTAATTAAGTAGTTTTTATCAGTAATTGTACTTTTTTGAGTAGTTTAAAAATTGTGTACTTTTACTTTTACTTGAGTACATTTTAAGTGATGTATCGGTACTTTTACTCCGATATTTTCCTCTTGGCAGAAGATTGAATTCATTTCTTTAAGTGCTGAACTTGATAATGAATTCCTACGCAATCTTCCTTTCAAAATCACAGACAGACTTAAGTATCTTGGAGTTGTTCTGCCCAAAAACCCTAAATTAATTTTTAAGTTGAATTTTCTAAAGAAATTGGAGGATCTAAAGATAGACATTGGAAAATGGAGGACTCTTCCTCTTTCTATGATAAGCCGTATAAACGCTGTTAAAATGGTCTCTCTGTCTAGATTCTTATATCTCTTTCAAAACTTACCTATTTTTTTGACAAAAGCCTTTTTCAAATCATTAGATTCGATAATCCTGCCTTTTAGCTGGGGCTTTAAAGCTCACAGAATATCAAAAATACATTTACAAAAACCAAAAGAGAAAGGTGGGTTAGGGCTACCTTGCTTTTTGCATTATTACTGGGCAGCGAATGCGAGGGCCCTTGTTTATTGGCAGGAGGATTATAAAACAGAAATCTCAATTGACACTCCCCCCTGGGTTGCTATTGAAAAAAATGGAGTTGAAAACAGTTCACTCCCAGCACTTCTCTTTTCATCTTCTGTATTGCCTGCATCTGTTAAGGTGGATAATTTTAAAGGTGGATGCAGATTACCTGCCACTGCTATTTTTGCCCCAGTATATCTCATTCACGCATTTCCCCCTTCTCTCTCAGATACAACATTCAACATGTGGAGGCTGACTGGTATAGTTACCTTGGAGGATTTATATATTAACACACATCTTGCTTTTTTTCTTAATTAAAGGAGAAGTTTTCTCTTCCCACAACACACTTTTTTTTCGACACTTACAGATTAGAAATTATGTACGTCATGCAGTGCCTAGTTTTGAGTCCCTGCTGGAGGAAAGAAGGATTTATAGACTTGTTGGGCTCACCTGATTCCAAACGTTTAATTTCAGATTTTGTAATTGTGTTTTCTGAAGAAATTAGTTTTTCTTCGCATTCTTTAAAAAAATGCTTGATAGTATGGTTGTAAATTGGGATGCAACTTTTACCCAGTTATCTGTTTTTCATCTTTTTTCATGTCTTTCTCTGTAGATCATTCAGAGGGGAAAATGGTCTGAGATTCAGGCTGAGTATGAGTTTATATGGCCTCAGAGTAGTGAGCTACCTTCCCCTACCTCAACACAAAACACACATGTGACCTGTTTTCTGAAGAAGTTAGTTTTTCTTCGCATTCTTTAAAAAAATGCTTGGGAGGATTCGTTCTTGTTCTATTAATTCTAGGCATCAGTTAATTCAATTTAAGGTGATGCATAGATTGCACTATTCAAAATCTAAATTACACAGGATTTTCCCAACCGTTTCTCCTACATGTAATCGATGTAAATCTGCAGAGGGCTCGCTTACCCATCTCTTTTGGACATGCCCTAAACTTTATAATTTTTGGTGTAACATATTTAAGTGGTTTTCTGACATGTATGGTTTTGCGTTTAAGCCTGATCCAGAGATTGCATTATTTGGATATTCTGCTTCTTTGTCAGACCATAATGTCTCTGTACAAAGCACCATTATTTATGGAATGATTATTGCTAAGAGCATCATTCTACGACTTTGGAAATCGGATACTGTTCCTCAGTTCAAGACCTGGTTGACTTATTTTACTGGAATATTGCACATGGAGAGAGTAAGGTATGGAATTATGGGTAACCTTGATAAATTCTACAGTATATGGCAACCATTTCTGGATCATCTTATCCTGTTAAATGCTGACTCTGATCAGTAATGTCGGGCAAAGAATGCTGTCTGCTCTGCCCTCTACTGAGTGCTTGTTTGTTTGTGCTTTACCACTGAAACTGCATATACACCCTGGTTCTTAGTTTTTTGCTTGTTTGTTTTTTCCTTTCTTTTATTTTTTCTTTTTTTTTATATTATTATTATTATTATTAATGGTTGATGATGTTAATCATTACTAATAATCATTTATATTGCTGTTTTTATTGTTAATATTATAATTGATTTGTATATATTTTCTAAATGTATTTTGTTTTCCTTTACTTTTTTGTAAAATGGTATTATTTACCATTATTTTTCTTTGCATTTCAATAATCAGAATAGGATTTGTCATTGTGGTATTGTGATAGGAGCAAATGTGCTTAATTGTCATAAAAATAATGTGAAACTGCAAAACATCTGAATGGAAATAAAAATAGGCTTTATTTCCTGTAAGCAAAATATAATTTCTTATTTTTTTCTTATTGTGGTGAAATATGCACGGGTTATTTTCTTGACAGAAGATTCATTCATGTATTTCTTAAGAGATGAGAAGTATCTAGTGAGTAATTTCAATACTCCTTTGGCAGTAAAACTCGCACATCAACTTTATCCTGTCACAAGCTCCACTGTAGCACAAAAAAAAGATAATCCATCTGTAGACATTTGGCATACTATTTTCAATGCCCAATGGTATGGTTTGGGACACACTAGTCATAATATTGTATACTACACCATATGGTTTGGATATGAATTCTGTATAGTACGGGTTGTAAATTGGGATGCAACTTTTACCCAGTTATCTGTTTATCATCTTTTTCCATGTCTTTCTCTGTAGATCATTCAGAGGGGAAAATGGTCTGAGATTCAGACTGAGTATGAGTTTATATGGCTTCAGAGTAGTGAGCTACCTTCCCCTACCTCAACACAAAACACACGTGACGCAGCATTCACACACCACCTGTCAGCACGGCTCAGTAGCCCAGACCAACAGTACCAGCTCATATCCGCTGTGGGTAAGAGCATGTTAAAAATGCTGTAACATGCACCTATAATACAGTATTTATATGTGCTTTACAGTGCTTATTTCAATATTCCTGACCTCATCTGTAAAGCATACACAGAATTTCTTCTGTTGTAGCATGCAAAAACAACATGGTAAAATAATGCTGGAATCTATGAAAAGCAATGGCTCTACTATGAGAGGGAACAATATTTAAAATCTTCTATAAAAGCTTTTTTATTAATAATAACACACATTTGAGTGATATTCAGTATTGCTGTAGTACAAATATTTCTAAATGGCAATCGCAGCAAGTCAATAAGGTAAAATCCAAGTCTTTAGCACCCCCTACTTGTGGAACTCATTTAACGCAACCTGCTTGTTTCCTACAGCTACAAACTTTTATAACTTTTCTTTTAACTACAACCAATTGCAAATAGAACATTTATTTGAAATATCAACTATATACAGTGTATATATATAGATTTGTAACATTATAAATGTCTACATGAAAGGTCAATTTATTGCATCCCTGCTAAATAAAAGTATTGATTAAAAAGAAAAAAACCTTACAGTAATGTATATAGTAACAATATGTAAGTAGCAATATACAGTATAATATATTGGTTAACACTTGCAGTTTCAATCATTTTAAATGACTAATGTTGTGCATGTGGGTTGGTGGACATGTGTTTAGATGTCAAGATCAGCGTTCTCTTTGACAAGTGACGATTCTTCAGAGAAGGGCCCTGAGGTGGGCATGGCCCCAGTGGTCCCGGAGAGCACTGAGGTAGAGACAGCTATCCAGAACTACTCTTCACTCAGGAGGGAGTCCAGAGCATCATCACTTCCTGGGTGGAAGAGTGTTGACCGCCTGGACAACTCTAGTAAGAACACACACACAGAGAGAGAGAGAGTATTCATCATTAGAGTAGTCTGGTGCCTCAGAACAAAACTTACATATAGTACATGACTTAATCATTGATTTATCATTGATTAATTGCGAGATGCAAGATGTAAAGAGATCGTTGACTCAAAAATTTTAATTCTGTCATTTACTCATCCTTATGTCGTCCCAAACCTGTATGTATTTCTTTGTTCTGTGGAACACAAAGATAAAGATGAAACACAAAGATATTTTGGAGAATGAAGAAAATGTTTTTGTCCATACAAAAATAACAATATTGGACTCTATTGGATACTTTTGGAGTCTATGGGCCAAAAAATATATATATATAGAAATGTTGGGTGAACTATCCCTCTAAGAATGCATTTTGACTGGATTCAAATTAAATCTACCAAGGCGATGTGTTAATTCTGTGTGCCGAGTATCAAAACTTGCACACAAAAAAATACACACCTAGACACTTAGAAAATGACCCCCGCAGACAAAATTGACATTTTCTCATTTTGTGATTGTGTATGTGATGTACACGTGCACGCGCACACACACACACACACACACACACACACACAAATCCTCTAAATTTGTCTGTCCAGGTGTTTGTATCTCTCTCCACAGGTGCATCTTCAGTCCTGCAGTCCCCTGATGGTAACTGGATCGCCCTGCAGAGCTCCCAGCATTCCCGGCCCAGTCTGCTGACCAAGCGCAAGAGTCTTGTTTTCAGCGTGCTGGAGAAAGAATCAGGTGTCGGATCCACGTATGACGAGAAGGGCTCTGATTCAGATCCAGAGGACCAGGGGGGCTGGGGGGCTGCCCTGTTACAGTTTCGCAGACGCCTCTCCGATGAAACGTACTATACTGACTCTCAACATGACCCTGAATGGACATACACTCAACACCCACCCGTTACCTCACCCTCCTCAGGTCAGTACACCAACACTGAGACTCTGAACTCAGACTCTGAGACGTCTCCTGCCCCGTCCACTCAAACCTGCAGACCAGCCCACGGTATGCCGCAGAGGAAGAAAGGACCATCTGATGCCCACCTGTATCCTCCATACAGACATCCTGCAAACAGTGCCGCTTCGCCTCTACTGAGGCCAGAGGCACTGGATGTAAACTTTAACCCCCGTCTGGAAGGGGACAGTAGTGATGGGGAGGAGCGGAACGAGCAGGTCAAAAGATCACCGAGGCGCAGAAAGAGCAAACGCGAGACATCAGAGCACAGCCGAGCACATTATGCACTATACAGCACTGCCACAGTGGTGAGAAAAATAATAGCCTGCTGGTTGATCAAAAAATCATACTGAGATTACTTTGGCACATATAACGTTTGTGATTTGGACTATGGTATGATAAAGATTTGACAGGTAATTTTGTTGCTACTCGCAATATATCAAGCGCACAAATAAGAATAAACCTATGCTGATTTTTCAATTAGGTGTACAAAAAATATCTAGCAATTAATATCTTAATGAGGAGACTTTAACCCCACCTACAGTGGGGCAAAAAAGTATTTAGTCAGCCTCCAATTGTGCAAGTTACTGCTCTAGAGGAGATCTGCATGGAGGAATGGGCCAAAATACCAGCAACAGTGTGTGAAAACCTTGTGAAGACTTACAGAAAACGTTTGACCTCTGTCATTGCCAACAAAGGGTATATAACAAAGTATTGAGATGAAATTTTGTTATTGACCAAATACTTATTTTCCACCATAATTTGCAAATAAATTCTTAAAAAATCCTACAATGTGATTTTCTGGATTTTTTTTTCTCATTTTGTCTCTCATAGTTGAGGTATACCTATGATGAAAATTACAGGCCTCTCTCATCTTTTTAAGTGGGAGAACTTGCACAATTGGTGGCTGACTAAATACTTTTTTTCCCCACTGTATGTGATTATTATATTGTTATGTAGCCTAGATTATTATTATTAACTTTAAATACTAGAATATTATTAAAAATATAAATATATTTCTGGTGCAATTTTATGTGTTTTATGTGTAACTTTATGTGTTTTTTAAAGCATCACAGTTAAATTCTTGAGCTTTCCTTTTAGTGGAAAACTTTTAATAGACTTTCTCCTCATCTGGAGAAATGCTGTCATCACCTCCTGTGTTCATAAAAATTTTAATTATTGTCAGGATTGGGGGGGGTTTTCTTACTATAAGTGTACATTTCTATACAATTAATTCATTTAATTCCCTTAATATTCTTTAAAAACAACACAAATGCTGCTTATGTAATATATTGACTTAAAGGTGAATGTATGTTACTCATTATTTGTCAATATTTAAGATACTAAATAGAAAATGACAATTTTGGCAAGAGTTGCAGCAATGGAAATGATAAAATCATTGAAAGGAAAAAGGAAGAAAACTTCTTTGGAATTCTTGTTTTTGAGTTTGAATGTGGTTTATATTTGACTCCAGTAGGTGGCAGTGCAGGACAGAGTTGTGCTTTTACTGGCATAAATAGTGTGGAAAATTTTTAACTCCTTTATCTCAGTCATGAAGTGTTTATTTTATATTCTTATTTTTTCTCCTTCATAATATTTGTCTCTCTCTGCTCTTCTCAACTGTCCCTCTCTTTAACACATCTCAGGAGAACAGTGCCGTCCTCCTCAACACCATGATGATGCGGCAACAGAGCCAGGATAACCCAGTCCCTCTGAATTACCAGGCTCCAGACACTGTGACCCCTCCTGATCTGTTGGCCTCTGACGCCATGACACCTGAACCTGACTATCAGAACACAGTGGCTCACAACTCCAGCGCCACTAGCCCACCAATGCTGAGCCAACTGGCGGCCAGCAAACCAGAGTTCCGCATTCAAGGCCCTTTGCTTAGGGGCTCCTCTGTTAATGAAACCCTGGAACAGGAACTGAAATCCAAACTCTGTGAGCTGGTTGGCCAAGTCAGCGAGATGGATGTGATGTCATCTGATTTTGAGCCAATCAGGGAAGTGGGCGACAAGCAAGAGGATCAAGTAAGGGAGAAAGAACGTGAGAAATTGAGACCAAAGGAGAGGCGCGAGAGCAAACAAGACAAGAGGGAAGAAAAGTCGAAGGAAACTGGGAATCAGAGTGAAAGACAAACAGTTAGAGAGATGGACACAAGTGATGCAGTAAGACAGATAAATATAGCGAGAGAAATGAAGAGAGATAGGGAGCGACAGAAAGAAATTGAAAGCCAAGTAGAGAGAGAGCGAGAGAGACAAAGAGAGCTGGAGAAACAAATCGAGAGGAACAGAGAAAGACAACGAGAGATCGAGATGCAGGTTGAGAGGAAACAGGAAAGACGGAGAGAAATGGAGAAAGAGCTGAAACAAGAGCAAGAGAGACAATCAGAGATTGAGCGCGAGATAGAAAAGAAGAGGAAAAGCATACGCATAGAAAAAGAGAAATTAGAACCTATAGTGAGTACGAAATCCAAAGAGGAAGAGAAACAAGAATCCTCAGGTAGACTAATGGAGCGAAATAAGAGTTTGAAGGAAGACTATTATAAAACAGAAAAGCTCAATGAGGAAAAGGTGAAGAGAATATCACCGCAAAGAAGCCAACCCGAAACAGGGTCAGAAAAACAAGAACAATGTGAGACAAAGACAACAAGGTCTTCAACCACATCTCCAGACAGTGCCCCCTCTGGTCTGGAGGAGCCAATGTCTCCATCAGAGGTAAGCACTGGCTCCGGCCTGTTACACTAAAAGTTCCTACTTCAGCTAGACTTTGTTCTAAACTCTAGTGAACTGTCTAACCAAACTCCAAAACAGTTATTTAACTAAAGCTGTAAACATATTGACAGTTTAAACAACTTGATTCTTTTCAGACTGTTGCTGCACCATGACCGTAGTTAACCTGAATAAGAAAACTTACTGTAGAAGAAGACTGCTTATAGTGTCTCTTGTAGCAAAAGTAAAAAGGTCATGCAACACATTTTAGATGCTACAATGTGTAATTTATTTATTTATTGTGCATAAGATATGTTTCAAGCCTTAAAAAAGTCATAATGCATTGTGAGAAGGTCATTAATTGTTTGATGTAATTGAGGGAAATATCCATTGACATATAAATACATAGATGCCTTATTGGCCACTTTGGCCCATTGCTGTGATGCTTCAACTTGTCTGACATAATGGACCAGGCAAGACTGCTCTACAATCAAATAAAAATAAACAGGGGAGTTGCTTTTTTTTTCTGGACAATGTGCAATTACATTTACATTTCTTAACTGATTTCATTGGTTTATTATCTACATAGAGTACAAAAAAGTCTCCAGTTACTTAGAATCTTGATAGTTAGACATGGAAAATTATTCTTTGTCACTTCACAAGCATAGATTTGGCTTATTTTTCTTGTTAAAATTGTGACTGCATCGCTAATGTAATATAATGTACTGTACATAAATTGTATTTAATTTTTTTAATTGTGGAAATGACTAATGTTAATAATTGACCATCATTGAAAAAAATAATAAAGTAATAGAATAAAGTAATAGAATTGGCAAATACAAATCAAATAGTAAGGCACTGTCAGTCAGTCTGCTTTCTATCTATCTATATATATATACAGTGGGGAAAAAAAGTATTTAGTCAGCCACCAATTGTGCAAGTTCTCCCACTTAAAAAGATGAGAGAGGCCTGTAATTTTCATCATAGGTATACCTCAACTATGAGAGACAAAATGAGAAAAAAAAATCCAGAAAATCACATTGTAGGATTTTTAAAGAATTTATTTGCAAATTATGGTGGAAAATAAGTATTTGGTCAATAACAAAATTTCATCTCAATACTTTGTTATATACACTTTGTTGGCAATGACAGAGGTCAAACATTTTCTGTAAGTCTTCACAAGGTTTTCACACACAGTTGCTGGTATTTTGGCCCATTCCTCAAGAGCAGTAATGTTTTGCTTTTTAAGATTCTTATAGTTTTTAAAGCTTTTTTTGTAGCAATGAAAGAATCCAGATATACACCAGGAGAGACCATTACAAAGACAATTATAAGATATGGCATTATTGATTGGTTGAAGTGAAATTTAGGTGTTACATTTTTTTTAAAGTAAAAATTGTATCCATATATTTTATATTTTGTGCAGCACATCCATTATATGTATCTGTATCAGTATCTGTAGGAATCTCAAAATTATTTCTGTCTCTAGATGTGTCCCAATTCAGAGGCTGTATCCTTCAAAGGCTGTTTTTAGCTGCAATTCAAAGGATTCTTCAAATGTGGCCTTGAAATGCATCCTTCGTTTCCTAGGCCATGAAGCTTACAACTGATGGATCATTCACAGCCCAGACTATCCTAAGATGCATTGCGCACTGGTGACAACAGAGAGAAAATGCCATATAAGACTTTTAAATGCAAGTAAATACCTACACCAATATTATACTAATATTGGGTTTCAACATGGTGGAATATCTAACAATACGAAACACTTTAAAGCAGTTTAAATGCTGACAACTTACTAAGATGCGATTTTATAGATAATTTATACATTATATACATAAATGGACCATGGTGAACAAATTTAGACAGGTTGTTACCCTGTTGTTTTCAGACAGTTGAAGATAACTTTTAAAAATGTCCAGACATTACTGCTGCTTGTCAATGGCAGATGTCACAGTTGCTAAGTGACAAGAGCAATCCTCTGTATAGAAGTCAGGGCCTTTGAAGTTCATTAAAGGATGCAGCCTCTGAATTGGGACACAGCTTGTTTCCAGAAATGGGCCGGGCTTAAACCGGAAATAAGTTAGATTGCACGAGAAGCCCATTTTAAATGCAATTCTATTCCCTTCATAGTTTTCATTTAACAGATATACCATAATTTTATAATTAATTATAATTAATAACTTTTAAAATATCTTTTAATTAAAACAAAAAAATAAAAATAAAGAATGTTTTCCTTTTATTTTAACATTTAGTTTTAAATAACTAAACTGTTAAATAAAATTAAAACATTCTTTATATTTTATTTTCCAGAGGAAATATGTGTAAAGATGTCAGAACAATCATCCACAACCTCAAATAAGAGGACTCTATACCTGATTAGAGAACATGGAAGTTGAAAATATTCAGTGCTAAATTGCAAAAAAAAAAAAAAACTTTTACTATAAATGAAAATCAATAAATTATAAAGAATAAATTATGGATCAGCTCCAGGAGGGAATAAAACAGAGAAACATATCATGTATCACATCGTACAAGTTTTAAAACATCTAAACAGACATATCAAATAGTAGATCAGTACCCTATTTTAGTTGATATCTCTTGGCGTGACACTTGAACTAGGGCACTACAGTGTCACGCCACATTAAAGAGCATCACAACCATATTTATTGTTTGTATTTCATGATAAAATTGACAGATTTCGAAAGTTAAAACTTTCAGTATAAATAGTAATACGTAAATAAAATTGAAACAGTAAATAAAATGTATAAATGTATGCATGTAAAAGTATAGTATTTAGGGTAAAAGTTCACCTACTCTCTTACCCCATATATATGATTTTTTTTAAAATACAAAATATTCTACTTTTGTCATTTCTTTTCCCGTTAAATGTGTTCCTCTATCAATGTTCATTAAAAAGATACTTATGTATTTTACCAAGTATGGTTTCATTCAAAAATATAGTATTACCATTTAATGCAATCAATGGATTGTGGTACAGGCACAGTATATTTAAAGGGGTGGTTGACTGTTTTTTTTCTAGGCTTGATTGTGTTTATGGGGTGCAGTCTAACATGTGTTAAGGGTGGGGTAAGGGATTTCTGGTAGCCAATGTTGATATTTCAAACCAGGCAATGATTAGTTCTGTGAAACAAAGGAAAACCTATGTTACTCACCTATCGAGAAGAAACAAAGCAACCTCAGCATCCGATTGCAGGCCTTCCCGCTCCTTGAGTTCTCTCCAGTGCTGGAAAGCTGATCCGATATTTACACGGGTCCTACTTCTTTCCTTATCGTAACACTGTGTCTACACCAGATGCGAGCGGCGAGACAAAATACTATAGAACTCATTATAATCAGTGATGCTGTCTACACTGGATGCGGCGCGGCGCGGCATGACAAATCCCCGACAGAAAACTGCTGCCGCGTTCTATTTATGACGTATTGACACTAAATTCAAATGATTTTCAACAGTCGCTTTGTCGCGCCCAGTGTACACAGATTTTAGCTGTTGCGGCGCGACACAACAACTGTCGCGTCGGGTGTAGACACGGCGTAAGTCTTCTTGTGTTCCACTTTTCCTCTTTTATTTTTTATCCGCCATCTCTATCATTCTGTGGTCGCTCGACTCGGCTAATATCCGTCATGTGCACTGAGCGCTCTCTCTTCTGCATCATGAGTAGACATGCCTCTTACTGCTGATTGGCTACAAGTTTGTTTTCCTACTCGGCCCGACTCAGTTTTCTAAAGCGTTTTTGAAAAAAGACATACCCCACCTTTAATGCTTAGTTTTAAAAATACGCATTATTTTTCACATAATTTACCTTTATTCTACACAGCTCTGTCCCTTCTCTCATAAACGCGCTGATCATTTCATGCTTTTATGAAGCCCCTCCCTCAGAAATACATGATGGGCTCAGATTGGTTGTGCTCCGGTTGTATTGTAAACAATGGTATCATCTATATTGCTTATCAGTTTGAGCCTGATTAAGACGCAGAGGATATTAGTGAAGAGGATCGCACAGAACCTGTGCAAGCACGGCTCTTAATGGTACGGTTTTTTTTTATTGTTGTCTCATACTTTTAGATACACTGTTATTTGTAAATGGTACTGCTTCTGTTAGCTTTTAATATATGGTTTTATTTAAAGCTGATTAAAGGTTTAATAAAGTACGGCAACCGCACGCGCGTCCATGTATAATGCTTCTCATAGCTATGTGAAAATAAGTGTATAAATGGAACAGTTCATTGTTGGAGCTGAACTGAATGAGAGAGAGCGAGAGATGCAGAGCAGGGGACGTGAGGAACCGTTTTGAGAACCGCTGCTTTAAAACATGGATTTTGAAACTTGTGAATCCATTAGAATCGTTAGAAGACAGAATCATGATTCATATATGAATAGATTTTATGTGCACCCCTAGTTTTCTCTTCCTCTTCTCTAAAGCAGCGCAGCATGGCCTCGCCTGCTTCGTTCCATGTTCCCGGGGGCGGGGTTTTTCTAGGTTTGTGATGTCACAAACCTGGGAAGTAACTCGTTGTAGTCCCTACAAGCTGTTTTTGTAGGCATTAAACTGCCAGAATTTTAAAAGACGATATCTCCGTTTGAATTCAACTTTCAACAGCACAACTTTGCAGATATTGTTTATGCTCAAACAGCAACATTACACACTAACTAACGTTAAAAAAGTGAAATCGCAATCAACCACCCCTTTAAAAGAGCATATAGGCAGTTCACTGTGGTTTGGAATAGACTCCCAGTTCACTCTCTATTGTGAATGTCAAGTGATATCATGCACCCAACTTCCCTTTTTCCAGTTTAAATAATAAACTGCACACTGTTGTTAAGCTGAGACTTAATGTGATTACAAAAGTGGGATGAGTTTGCAGATCAATATCCTTTGTTGATCCTAAAGCAACATTCCTATCAACCAATCTCAGCCCTACACCTAAAACCAGAGGATAGTGATTGGTTGAATGTGGTTCCAGGAATATCAAAGGATGCTGATGACAGACTTGTGTAAATTATTTGGTGCCTTATAAGAGACTGAGCTCCGTTAGAAGATGCCTGCTCATCTAGATCCTTAATTCCGGCACTCTATCAAACCCTTAAACTTACATTTATGTTACAAATTGAACTCAGAACGAAGATCTTCGCTCTAATTGGTGGTGAGAAGTCATGATCAAGCTCACACAGAAAAGCATGTCTGATGAAAGCTCAATTCTGTGTTGCCACTTCAGACTTGTATCGTGCATGAGGTAATGTGTGACGCATGAACCAGCCTGCAGAAATGAATATAGAACCTCTCTAGATGTTGTGAGAACATCTGATGCTGACGAGGGAATGCACACAATAAGAGCAGCACTGTCTTCCTCTATGGATTCTCTTTACCTGGCATCAATTTAATTTCCAGCTAGCATCTTGTCCATTATATTAAAGGAATAGTTAAACCAAAATTGACAACTATTTCTTCATATACTGACCCTTGTGTCTTTCCAAACCACTATGATTTTGTTGGTTATTTAGAACACACATTCACTCGAGAAAAAAAAAGAAGAAAATCTGAAGACTGTTATCCATGCTCATTATGACACTCTTAAAATGTGCTTCCATGAAGAAGCTTTAATTGACCTTTTATAGTGAAAAAGGTTCTGTATATTATTAAAATTTTCTTTACATTAAGAAAAAAAAAAGTATCTTTTAAGAACTGTTCGCTGAAAGGTTTTTTGAGGAATCCAAAAATGTTTTTTTGCTAGAAAACCCTTTTGGAACCTTAGTTTTTAAGAGTGAAGAATGGAGATTGCTTTCAAGCTTCAAAAAGGAAACTACAGCACTGTAGAATAGAAACACTGAAAATTTTGAAATCTGCTCATCCTCTCCTTGGCAAGTTCATGAGAGATGCAGCAATGTCTGATTTGTGAGTGAATCATTCTTTTGAATCAGATCTTTTCAATTAATCGGTCTGGTTGACAAAACTAATCTGAATGATTCACATATCTAACATATTTCCAAAGATGAAGATTATCAGTGAATAAGGACAATTTTAATTAACATATTGCTTTGAATATAGTGCATAAGTTGCACTGACAACTTTTTTGACACCGATGTGGTGCCTTTGCATTCTTTTGGAAGTGCAGAACAGAAACCAGTACAATCATCAGGACTTCTCCTAATGTGTTCCATAAAAAAAGAAAGAAAGACATACAGGTTTGGAATGGCACGAGGGTGAGTAACTGATGACAGAATTTTCATTTTGGTGTGAACTATCCCTTTAATAGTTTGTCTTTTGTCTTTCATCTATTTTATCTTTCTTTCTACTTCATTTTCTTTGTTTTTCTCTTTCATTTGTCTTTCTGTCCGATCTCTCTCTTTGTGTCTCTGTGTTTCTCTCTTTCTTTCAACCCCCTCCTGTTGTTCCAGGAGGGTCTGAGTGATAATGCCCTGCAGCAGAGGCTTCAATTACTCTCTTCTCTCTTACAGCAGGTGAGATATATCATGAGAAGACGCAGTAGAGCTGGAGAGATGCCTCCTGAATCCAGTCCATTCATAGTCCATTCATACTCCTGCCTTAGAACGTGCTCATGACATTGCAGAGTCTGTTAGAGTCAGATACACACAGTGGGGGAAAATCTTCCTTTAGATTTCTTTTACATCTACAGAACTGGTGGTGATATTGAGAGCAGAACATGTTTAACAAAAACCTGTTACTCTGGTTCTGAGCAGCTCGGTTCTCTTCATTATGTTGAAAATGTTTACTGCTACTATCCATGGGTCAAAACAGGCCTTAATTAAAAATAATAATAATAACAAATATACTATATTTACTTATATTATTATACTTATTATACTATTTTTAAATTTTTTTAAGTCTCTTTGGCTCACCTAGGATGCTTTTTTTTTTGTTAAATCTTATTACAATTTAAAATAACTGTTTTCTATTTTTATATAGCTATTTTAAAATGTAATATGAATTGAATTCATTTAATAATGAATTTTCAGCAGCCATTACTCCAGTCTTCAGCAGAAATCATGCTGATTAGCTCAATAAATATTTATAATTTTTATCAGTGTTAAAATCAGTTATGCTGCTTAATTTTGTAACACTATACATGTCTTTATTGCCACTTTTGATCATGCTTTAATATGTATCCTTTCTGAATAATTTTTTTTTTTTTTTACTGTTACTTAAATATTATGTAGAATTCATGTGTTTGTCTAACTAAATTTCAATAAACATATTCATGAATTTATAGGTAAAATTTCTAATAACAAACCATGGCAGAATGGGCAACAGGAATGCTGATTTAATTCAAATTTAGATTTCACTCAGTAAGGGTGAGATGACATGTTGACTTGTAGTTTGAAAATGTATCTAATGTGTTATATTTTGGTTATTGTTTTACATTAACTTTGGCAACTAGATTGAATTATGATTAATGTAGTTTTTTAGGCATTTAGGCAAAATCTTAATTTCTAAAGGTCCAAATTAGGTAATTTCAGTGGTGTCACAATTTTATGAACTTTTTATTATGCCAAAAAATAATGCAGTAATAAGGTTGCTTGAAAAATGTGGGGCACAGCTGAATGTAACTTTAAAAATTTAATATTAAAATAAGTAAACTTACAGTAGATAAATAATTAAAAATACTTTAAGAATAATTTCAGCAACAAGTCAGAATTATTCAATTGTTTTATAAAATTAATTGTTGCATAAAATAGACAAGTACACATCCTGCCAAAAGGCATTTTATTTAAACTAGCTAATTTTCATGCTATAGGTATGTTAATGTTGTGTTAAATTATTGTCTATCCAAAAATATTTGTCTAACATGTCTAAAGAACATGAGATTTGTGTCTTTATTGCTATACCATTTCGCCTAATAAGGGAGCAGTTTTCCATACCAATTTCCCCTTTTGGGCAAGCATCAATACATTATAAATGTGCTCTACATTTTATTTAAGATTTTAAGATTGTGTGAATGTGGTCTTTTAACTTTCATTGAGTGTTAGATTTATTCAGCTCTGCACATCAGTTTTCTACATGTTCCTTCACTATACAGGTCTATTTTTACGTGCACACCGACCCTTTAAGAGCTCGAGGCACTCGTGGTTTTAGGACTGAGTTTGGATCAATTATTTCTGTGATCAAAGCATAAACCAACCCAACCATTAATTGATTCCTCAAGTATTCATTACTGAATCACACTGCTCCACTCTTTCTTCCTGTCTCTTTCATTCTCACTTTCTCATCTTGAAAAGTCATTTTGTCTCATCATATTACTCTCTCTCATGTGTGCTTACTGTCTTTCTTACAAGCATGCACATCAACAAGTACATCTCATATTGATGGCTTAGTACTCTAAATGAACTCTGATGCCTGTTACACTTTGAAAAGCTTATTGATAAGAACAAATGTACCTCTCATCCACGTCGTTTCACAGTCTTACGATGACGTGGCACATTGTGATTTGACCCAAAATTACAGGCCTCTCATCTTTTTAAGTGGGAGAACTTGCACAATTGGTGGCTGACTAAATACTTTTTCCCCCACTGTACATCCACTTCACACTCTTCTTCTCCCATAATCCTCTCATCCTGTTTATTGATCCAACAGGTTGAGCATGCAAGCAATACATCCCAGCTAATTAAGCTGAGAGTGAGATCTTAGGTAGCTACGTGGAAGTTGTGATCCTCTCAACATTTCTTTTTTTTATTATTCTTTTATTAATAAATGTTTTATGGCTTTTATGGAAATTAGTTTAAAGAGCACCTGATATGCATTTGAATTCCATCAGTTTTGCATATCTATTTATCAGTGGTTTTCTCATCTGTTTTATGTGTTCTCTCATGTATATGGAGCAGAAGTACTCTGCTGCATCTTTATGCAGCATCACCACAGAGGTTCTGAAGGTCCTGAATGCCACAGAAGAATTACTTGGAGAGGCAGAAGGCAAAGGTCATGACCCTTCTCTGGCTTGCACACCCATGTCCTCAGGCCCAGGCAACAGGAAACTGGACCAACACCTCACTAAGATGGAGGAAAATGTAAGATTCACTACTGGAAAATGTTCTAGTGTTGTTTTTGATACTTTTTAATGAAGATGGGAAATCCAAGATTAGTGTTTTTAAGACAAACCATAATTATGACCATTGAAACGTACTCTACAGAAATATTCTACTAAAGCCAAAGCAAATTATTCAAATATAACCTGGACAATATGTTTTTTATTTACGTTCACTGTTTTTCTACCCCTGGGAGTACAGGTAAACCTGAAGAGTAAGATTTCCAATTAAATTCATAATAATGGTATATTTCTATTTAATATTTAAAGTATAAATATTGTTACAGAACAGTTTATTATTTTTTATTATAAATTTTATATTAAACTTTTTGCATTTTTATATTATACATTTTAATTATAATTTTTTTTAATTATATTTATATTTTATTGTATATATTAATGTCATCGACAGCATTGAAAATACATTTAGTATTAAAAAAAACATGCAGTTCTCCCTTTCATCTGTGAAATTCTGATCTAATTTTGTGATGATGTGAACTGTGTGCAGGTGTATTTGGCAGCAGGTGCTGTGTACAGCCTAGAGGAGGCGCTAAGTGACTTAGAAGAGTGTGCTCGCAGTATCAGCAGCTCCACCACAGAGACTGAGCTAGCCTTTCTAGAAGATCAGGTGGCCACTGCTGCCACCCAGGTGCAGCAGTCCGAGCTCCAGGTGTGTGCTTGCATGTGTCCTAAATGTGCTATTGATACAGTGGGGAAAGTCGTGGCCTAATGGTTAGAGAGTCAGACTCGTAACCCAAAGGTTGCGGGTTCGAGTCTTGTACCGGCAGGGATTGTAGGTGGGGGAGTGAATGTACAGCGCTCTCTCCCACCTTCAATACCACGACTGAGGTGCTCTTGAGCAAGGCACCGAACCCCCGAGCGCCGCAGCAAAAATGGCTGCCCACTGCTGTGTGTGTGTGTTCACTGCTATGTGTGTGCACTTTGGATGGGTTAAATGCAGAGCACTAATTCCAAGTATGGGTCACATGTCACGTCACTTTCACTTTTTTCACTTTATCAAACAAACACTTAAAGTGTAAATTCAGAAGTGTATCTGTTCTTTGCAGATATCAGATATTGAGGCAAGAATATCAGCCCTTAAAACAGCAGGTCTAAATGTATCTGCATGCACAAGGTTTTCCAAGTACAAATCCAAGCCTATGGTGAGTTTCATCAGCATTACAGTTTTTGAATTTTAAAGGCAAACAGGATGCATTTGAACTTGTAAGTGCAATGGATTTGTTGAATGATTTTAGAATTAGTGATTTAATGTTTTTCCTGCCAGCCCCAGACACTGGACTCTTCTCGCCATCAGAGGAGAAAGCTGCCTGCTCCTCCTATCAGAAGTCTGTCATCAGGTATGAACACATGCACATACACCAACATGTAATACTTTGAAAGGGATCTCACCCTTATGTCTCATGTAATTCTAAACCTGTAAGACTTACTATTTTCCATTGAGCACAACTAAAACAGTGCAGAATCTCTAGAGGGCGTATTTTAATAATAGAGACTCCAAAGAAGACAAAAACAATATAAGTGGCCCATAGTACTTGTGCATTAGAATCCAAATCTTTCAAAGTTATATGATAGCTGTGTGGGGAACAGAATGCTAAAAACTTCCCCTGGCCTTCTGTACTCAGTTTGAACATAACACGTCAAAACATGTTGTGCCAAGTTCCCCTTCAGGAACTCGAGCTGCGTCGAAATGCTATGGGAACGACTTCAGCGTGACCATGCTCTGAATCACATGTGTAATCAGTCCAATGGATGGGCACGACGTCACGGGCGGGGTGACGTAACGACCAGGAAGCTTAAAAGCACATGTGGTGGAACCGGCGTCAGCTTTCTGTCATTCAGCAAGCGCTCTGTGTGTGTGTGT